GAAATGAATAAACTAAACTAAAACTAATAACTCAAATTAGCAGTGTAATGCAATCTATCAATTTCTCTCATTTTCCTGCAGTTGTGTGTAAAATATATTTATACAATAGTTTTTGGGTCTATACCATATTCAATAAATAGTCTTTAAAAAGACAGAATCCTGAGCCTCTGATGGACTCTGCATGATATCAGGGACTCTCACCTTGGAGGGAGTCCTGGGCAGTTGCTTCTGCAGGTGAAGGATTCAGAGCCCAGTGTAAGTTCCTTCTGAGCTCCTGCTGGTCCTCTGTATGAACCAGTTCATACACATTCTGGTGCATGACATCAGTCTGAGGAAACAAGAGAATGAACGAGATTAAATACAAAAGTCACAAAAAATATTTAAAAGGTTACCTCGCAATACCTTTTGTGTTTCCTCACAAAAGTCATTTATCACTGTTGTGCCTGCCGGTTAATTACAAAACTCACATGTTCACCATTAGTGAGTTAGCCTACTGCTTTAACTCAGCTTCAGAATGAATACTGTATATCACACAGCCACGTATGGAAGTATGTCATATGTTGATATTTTAACACAGTGCAGCCACGCAACATCAATGTCAATTTCACACACTTGTGGCGACACATCCTATTTTAGTAACCAGATATTTCAAAATAAAAGTCTGATTTAATTTAGTTTATATACAAATCAAACTTTTGCGAGGGAACGCAAAACAATATTGCGAGGTAACGCAAAAGTATTGCGAGGGAACACAAAAGTATTGCGAGGGAACGCAAAAGTATTGCGAGGAAATGCAAAAGTATTGCGAGGTAATGCAAAMGTATGGCGAGGGAATACAAAAGTATTGCGAGGCAACACAAAATTATTGCGAGGAAAAACAAAAGTATTGCGAGGGAATGCAAAAGTATTGCGAGGAAATGCAAAAGTATTGTGAGGGAACACAAAAGTATTGCAAGGTAACGCAAAAGTATTACGAGGGAACGCAAAAGTATTGCGAGGTAACGCAAAAAGTATTGCGAGGTAACGCAAAAAGTATTGCGAGGTAACGCAAAAAGTATTGCGAGGTAACGCAAAAAGTATTGCGAGGTAACGCAAAAGTATTGCGAGGTAACGCAAAAAGTATTACGAGGAAACGCAAAAGTATTGCGAGGTAACGCAAAAAGTATTACGAGGAAACGCAAAAGTATTGCGAGGTAACGCAAAAAGTA